CGTCAGGCTGTTCGCTATGCATGATTACATGCAGGTAGACTCAAAAAAAAAAAAAAAAAAAAAGTCTCACTGTACGCTGCGTGCCACTCTACTACAAGAAAATAGATAGAAAGAGTGTAGATATTGCAATGAACACTGCGCTGGAGCATCTAGAGACAGGCGGCCGGGAAAGCGGTGGCAGTGCGGAGGAGCAACAAGCTTGCGTGCGGGCCGTCAGCTCCAAGTTCTCGGCCGCCTCTGCTGACAAGCTTCACCAAAAACGCCATTCGTCGGACGACAAGACGGCGCCATAACTCCATCCATCAAATCCGCCGACGCCGACTCTGCAATAAAAACCACCATGTCCAAGTCTCGTCCTAGTCAGTTATTCAAATCTCAGTCTGTTCTGTCCACTCATCGTCATCGACACTGTTCCTCGGCTATTGCCTCTTCGGCCAATTATCTGCGTGCAAGACGAGCTGCTACCACCACCTCCTCCAGTGCGAGTACGACGACTGCCACTGCGACTACCCCCCGGCGTCATCTTACAAAGAACAATAACGGCTTGATTGCGCCTGCGTCTTCTGCCTTTAAGACATCCTCCCCCTCCATTCTTCAACCGCATCAACACCTGTCTCGGACATTCCATTCTTCGACTCGATCCACAATGGCGTCGGCAACGAGCTTCTACGACTTCAAGCCGCTGGACAGTAAGTGCTTCTTTTGCTTCTTTGCTCTCGAGCTACCTTGTTTCACCTACGCCCATCTCTCACTCTTCTCTGCTTTCCCTCGCGCTGCTGCTGCTGCTGCGACGCCAGGCAGACACGCACCGTCTGCTCTCCGTCTGCCAAGCGGCACCAGACGCACGATGATGCCATCACACTGCGCCCCGCGCCGCCGCCTGGCCGCTCGCACATGCGCCACCACCTACCTACCTCCCAAACTCGCTCTCTCACTCCAACCGCACCAAGCTAACCAACATCTGTCCAGAGCGCGGGCAACCGTACCCCCTAACCTCTCTCAAAAACAAAGTCGTCCTGATCGTCAACACGGCCTCCAAGTGCGGCTTCACACCGCAATTCGAAGGGCTCGAATCTCTCTACAAATCCGTCACGTCGACCCACCCGCGCGGCAGCGACTTCGTGATCCTCGGCTTCCCCTGCAACCAGTTCGGCGGCCAGGACCCCGGCTCCAACGACGAGATCCAGTCCTTCTGCCAGGTCAATTATGGGGTGACGTTCCCCGTGCTGGGCAAGGTGGACGTCAATGGCGACAAGGCGGACCCCCTGTTTGAGTGGCTCAAGAAGGAGATGCCCGGCTTGATGGGCCTGAAGAGGGTTAAGTGGAATTTTGAGAAGTTTTTGGTGGGCAGGGATGGCCAGGTTAAGGGGCGCTGGGCGAGCACGACGAAGCCCGAGAGTCTGAAGGAGGCGGTTGAGGCCGAGTTGGCCAAATAGGTGGGTGGGCGTGTCGACTTGATATCCTGGGGATGGCGAGTAGGGACAGGGAATTTGTACGATGATGGGTTGGAAGAACAGTGGAATAGGGCGTGCATGTAGCATTTGCATCTCGTCATTCATGCGAATTGAGGACTGATTGTTTGTTACATGCTTGCGCTTGGATATCTAATTCTGTTGTTCAACGCTACCTTGCCTCTGCTCTAATCAAAAGGCAACCGCCGCAGCCCCCCCTGCGTCCCCATGCGCTTCTTCATCTCGCCCACGGCGCCCGCGCTGCTCGGCACGCGGATGCCGCAGCAGTCGCCCCAGCTGCTGGCCGTGTGAACATGCCTGACGCCGTCCTTGTCATCGTGCACAACAACGCGGCCCTCGTCCGAATCGGCCGCCTCACCGCTGGCGACGCGCTCCTCGGCGGCGTCCTCGCCCTCGTCGCCGGCGCTCATGCCCTCTGCCGCAGGCACCAGCGAGCCAAACAGAAAATGCTGCATCACGGGCAGCTTGCCGAGGACCTCGTTGGCAAACATCTTGCGCATGCCCGCCTCGATCTTGTCCCAGCCGCGCGCCGCCGAGATGTCGTCGAGCATGGGGCTGTGCCAGCGCAGGCCCTCGACGCTCTTGACGCTGTTGACGAACTGCACCTGGTCGAGGTACAGGAAGTCGGGCGCGCCCTCCTCGAGCGTCAGCGCCGAGTGGATCGACTTGGGCCGGATGTAGCGGTGCCCCAGCAGCTGCGAGGCGCCGAATAGGAACGGCAGGAATTGGTAGTCGTCCAGCCCCCACACGCCGTGCGACCCCGCTGGTTCGAGGTAGTATGCTGTTTGGATTTTGCGCATCAGCCGTAGGTAGGCGGGGAAGACGACGAGGACTAGCGATTGCGCCACGGCGGTGCCTGCGTCCGGCTCCTCCTTCTCGCTGCCGTTCTTCTTCTGTGCCTCTGCGCTTTTCGAGGGCATGGGAAACAGCCCCAGCTGGTACAGGCACAGTATCCACACCCAAAAGTTGAGCTCGTGCCCGCTGCCGTAGTCGATGCGCGCGCGGCTGCCAAACGCCTGCCGCAGATACGCGGCGCACTCTTGCACGGCGGCCGGCTCCGTCACGCCCACGCGCTCATGCCACTCGCCCATGCGCGCGACAACGCCGTCCACAAAGTCGCGGAACACCGGGTTGCCGAAGCGGCTGCCGCCGTTGTCGTCGGGCGGGTGCGCCGCCAGTACCTCGCCCTCGATCGCCTCGATCACGCCCAGAATGCCGTCGACGGTTGGGTGCAGCGCGCTGCGCGGGCGGGCGGCCACATCGCGCGTGCGCGTGCGCGCCACGGATTCCGAGAGCGTGAAGATGAAGGAGAGGAGGAGGCTGTGGGTGGGCGAGGCGCGGAAGAGGTCGTGGTCGCGGGGCGACAGGATGCGGCGGGTGGGCGTGACGAACTTGTGCGAGGAGTCTGGGCGGAGCGGCGCTGGGAGGGCGGGCGTCTCGGGCGTGGGGATGGGCGAGGGGTTGGTCGATGTTGGTGATGGGGCTGCTGCGCCGCCGTTGGGTTTCTTTGTTCGCGGGGTGAGGCTTGGGAGCTTGAGCGCGGCGGCGGAGGGTGTTGTTGTGTTGGGCTTTGGAGCGGACATTGTGGGGAGTGCCGTCGCGGTTGTGGTGTTGCCGTTGGAATTCGGATCGGACGGTGGGGAGGACATGTTGTATGAGGTTGGTGTGGTGGTTGGAGGGAGAGGTAGGGATGGGACAGGACGTGTTGTTGCTCGGATGGTAAACCTAGTCGGACTTGACGGCGTTAAGCGCCACTTATGTAAGGGTCTGCTCCGCCAAAAAGGGTCTGATGTTGGGTAGAATCCAATTCGCACGTATTCTGTGCTATTCTTCGAGCTGTTCTTGAGCAGCTTAGAGAAGTATTTAGATTCGACAGAAACTTGACGACTTTGGACGATTGAATTCGTGCAGACAGAGCTCTCGACGACAAAAAAGTTGCCTTTTTGGGCTGCAAGCTCCAAGCCTCCGCCAATCAGCACGGCGCTCTGCAACATTGAACGTATGAGTCTGTTAATCAATCAAGAATCATGTTCAAATCATGCCAAATGATTCAGAAACGGTTCAAAAGTTGGAGTGACTGTAAGACGAGAAAATTGCCTCTTCGGGATGTGGGTCCTACCGGTTCTACGCCGCTGCTCCAATCAACGTAGGATGCTGCAACTTCAAACATGGGAGAGTTTTGATCCGTTGGAACTCAGTTTGCAACACAGGCCTGGTAAGACTCGCGTACGGCATAGGCATGACAAATCTGCACGGAAATTGGTCTGGCTCTCTGGATGCTATGCAAAATATCTTCGAGTCTTGCTAACTCAACTCGAAAATGGCACACATGAACCCAAATAATAGACAGCTTCATCTACAAAAACGTGCGCGGTCAAGGCATCTTTGGCTTTTGCAATTCTCGGACTGTACTCACTTCACCAAGGCAGTACTACTGGGGCCTGGGAAGTAGCAATCTTCTGTGCGCTAGATGGAACGGATCGACTTTCGCAGCAAGACGTCAAAGTACTGCTATGGTGATTTGAACATGGACCTTGATGAATCTTACAAAGTCCCTGTGGCTCTTCCTAGTCGAATGGTGGACTCAGTGTTGCAAAGCATTAGTTCAACGCGTGTACTGTACGATTGGAGTTCTTCATGTAAGACTTCGAACATCTGTAGTGAATGCTACTGACAAAAACAAAAGCACGCAATCGGAATTTCAAGGGCAACTCTACCTGAGGACATTTCCCCTCGTCTAAGTCTCCCCTTTTGCAGTGGCTGCTCCCTCGATCCGTTGACAGGCGCGGCGTCGGAAATGTATTTCTCATGGGCTCAATGCGTTGAACAGATATCCATTGCTTGAGACTCTGTGATCGTGAAGCTGCGAGCCATTAGGACATGAGAAGGCAGTCCCCTTACTGAAGGAGATGTTGAAAGTGACATGTCTACAAACATTGACCATGGCGAAAGGAAAGCGCGATGCGAGTAAATGAGCCCAATGCAGTTGTCATGTGGAAACTCCAGCGTTCCCATCACGCAGTTGCTGAGTAGTCTTCCATACCCCAACTCACATGTACATGGTTTCGCGTCAAGTCTTGAAGCAGCTCATCGTTTTGAAGCTTGAAACTTTCCTCGCCCTTCCGAAAAATCACAATCCAACTCTAGACATCAACACTCGTCGCCAGAAACCACATAATTCCGTCCTCACATCTCCATTCCATCCCTCTACCTTCCCTCTTCCAGTCCCGCCTCAATACGAATTGGGAAACCGCCGTCCTGGATCTTGGTGTTCTGCCCCGTAGGGCCCAAGCTCCTCCCCGCCAACTCATCCGATTGGCCGAACCGTCCACAACTCACCACTTTGGAGCGCTCTCTACGCTGCGTCTCGTTCGGCACAACAGCGGTCGTTTATGCCACCCGCTTCAAAATTTTCAAAACCACGTGAAAGACCGATCTTCTTTCGGCTCTTAATCAACTTCTTTGCAATGCAAAATATATTGCATGCAAGCCAGCTCCTCCTCAACAAAAGCAGCAAGACGCCGCTTCGGGAGGTTGGCCGAGTGGTTATGGCGCTAGTTTCAGGACATCTTCTCCGACGAACGAGTTCCGATCTAAGGGATACCTACTACTAGTTGGGTAACCTTCGTGGGTTCGAGTCCCACACCTCTCATCATTCTTTTTTGCCCTTTTGCAGCTTTGTGTCATGCCTCCACGTGCGTGCCGATGCAGCTGGGGAAGTTGTTGTAATTTTTGAATTTTTTTTTGGTGGTGTTGAGGTGAAGCGGGAGAGGTGAGTGAGGTGAGGGAGCTGCGACCCACAGCGCTCTGGTGAGATGGAAGTCAGTGGCGTGCGCATGGCTGTCCCGACGAGGCAGGTGCAATAGGAGCTCTTTCCATAATCTAAATTGCGCACATCAGGTGAAGAGCGCGTCGAGGTTTCCGCGTGAATTGCTTCCCTCTCTCCATTGCAAAACGACGCGCACTGGCTGGTCCACCATGTTGATCGACAGTGAACCAACCAAGCAATCTCCTTTTACATTTACGTTTTGCTTCTCTGGCAACTGGATATCAAGCCTAGCTAAACTTGCGCTTGGTTAAAAACATTGGCTTTTGTCCGCTACATTCCCTAGTAACCTTCTCTCCAAATCTGCCAGCCAGCCAGCCAGCGCACCCATCCACGCCATCTCCACTTCCACCTTCCCATCAACATCAGCCTCCACCGCTAGATTTTTAACACATGCAGCCTCGCAACCTCGTCCGCATGCGGTCGGAGGCGCGAGCAGGCGCGAGCATGTGCATGTTCAGCGCAGCGCATAATGCATTTTGGCGTTTTGACATGCGTGAGTGATTAGTGAACACACGCCGGGCGAACTGAGGAGAAGGAGACACGGCAAGGGGTGCGGGGCTGTGTTGTTTCCGCCTGGCGAAACCTGGGCGGCGCTGGCGTTGGTTTCACGACGGATGGATGGGCGGGCGGATGGATGGATTGATAGAGAGGGGTGAGCCTGGAGTGGATGTCTTTAGGGTAGAGGAGGGAGAGTTTGAAGAAATGTGATGCGGTGACCCGACGAGGCAGAATGGCAGGTCTAATGACTTTCTGTCGGAGCAATGTCAAGGCGCAGGTCTGAGAGCAAACGACGTCGACGTGTATTCAGAAGACTGCCGACAGGCGACAATAATAGGAAAACCTGACCCCAGAAGCGGCTGAATACCAAGGGACCTTGTGTTAAACGAGTGTATCGGTGAGTTATTATCTACTAAAACAAGAGTCCGAAAGGAAGTAAGCGTGCCCGAAGAGGTTACCTAACTATACATTATGATCACAACACAGGCGCGACAAGGTTTTAAAGAGTGTATCAGTGAGTAATTATGAGAGGAGCATTACAACTACATTCGGGGGGATTTGGGGGGACAAGAGCCAAAAAAGGAAGGGAAGCGAGCACCACGACCACGACCACGGGAGAAGAGGAAGAAGTGAAAAAGAATACGATGAAACTTGTTCATTGTGTGCACAGCACACACCCGCCTAATCTACCCGTCCACATCATGCAAACATTTTTGACCACTGCTGCTGCTCCCACAATTACTGCACCGCTGGGGGGTGAAGAGCGCTTACTGCTCCTTGGCGAGGGTGCCGCGGGCCATGTGGCGCTTGCGGAGGTTGTACTCGATGGCACGCTTCTTGGCGCCGGGAGACTGGATGAAGGCGGCGGAGCCACCGAAGGGGCCTGATATCGTGTCAGAAGGAGAACAAACGGGTAGGATGAGAGAAACTTACCAGCAGCAGCACTGTTCCTGACGCGGACAATGCAGACATTCTCAGCAGGACCGGCCTTGCCCTGGCATTGCATGCCCTCGGGCATCTGGACCTTGACGGGGAAGTCCATCACGGCAGCGCCGCTGAGACCGCCAATGCCAATGCCGGGAACGTCCTGGGTGACCTTGGCCTCCTTGAAGGCAGAGGGGTCGGTGCCTCCCGAGGTGGGGTCGACCTCAGCCTTGAGCGGGCCGGCGCCGTCCTGGTTGACCTGGTGGTAGGTCAGGGTGATTTCGCCATTGTCAGAGCAGGTCGGCATGCCAGAGGTGGCGCCCTTGCCGGCGGCCGCCTTGACACCAGTCTCGGACGTGCCCTTGGGGGTCTTTTGGCCCTGAGCATCAGCTCCGCCACCTCCACCGCCCATGAGGCCGTCGAGGAGACCGCGCTTCGCGGGCTTGGTGGTGGCAGCACCGCCGGGGCCGTTCATAAACATCTCAATGTCCTTGGCAGCGTCGACCTTGCCACCCTTGTTGGTGCGGCCAAGAGCGCTGGCCTTGTTGCCGCCCGAGATCTCGCGGTCGCGGATGATGGAGGTGTCGCCCTCAGATCCGCAGGCCGGGCTGGCACAGTCACGGGGAGTGCCGTCCATGACTAGAGAGAAGGTTAGAGGGAGTTGGAGAGAAGGAACAAACAAACGTACCGCCGAGACCGGGCATCTCTACGCCATTGGCACCCGTGATCTTGGTGACGAGACCGTGGGCGGAAACAGACGCAGCCAAGGCTGCCACGACGACAGTGGAGTAGTGCATTTTGTTTTGGGGGTATTAGGGTATGAAGACGAAGGGCGACCGGCGCGAGAACTGAAAGACTCTGTACTCAAAGATTGACTGAACTTGGAAGTGGTGCTGATGCTGGAAAGACGGCGGTGGAGTGCATCGGGTCTTATACTTGCCAGCAGGCTTTCTCGTTCTGCTTGTGAAGGCGGCACTGGGACCTTTGCAAAGAGTTAGTGTATCACAATTCACGATTTGGAAACCACCAGTCGTGGGCTGCATCGCGTTCGCAGCGAGGAACGAGGGAGCGGCGTGTGCCAGAAAGGGGCGGGTGAGACTGTGCTTTCTCAGGGCGTGACACTGATTGGGACTGGGGCAAGGCTGAGGCACAATCAGGGCTCCGGAGATCGGCCTGCAAGTGGACAAGGTGAAGCGCAGGTGCGGGTTCCAGGCAGATTTGGTGTTGATGTTCAGACGAACACTTCTCCAGGTACCTGTGGAGATTCTGGCGCAACCAATTGGCTTCTTCAGACACTCCAAATGCCCGAGGTCGTCCATTGTCGCGCGCTTGGTTTGAAGCGCTCCCGGGTGGCAGGCAGAAAGGATTGCTTGCATTAAATGTTGGGGGACTCGAGGTCTCAGATTGCAAACACCAAGAAGGAACATGCGGGTGGGCAGCCTCTGACGTAGTGACAGTGATGGAAGAGTTTGGAAGACTTTGCCATGGCGTTGAATTCATTCTTTGAACGGGAGATGGCTTTGGACCGTGAAAGTCGACAGTTTATCCAGCTCTTTCGAGACCGCGCAGGGCGGTCGAGACTCGCAGTCATTGCCACTCTGGGTCCTCGTCTTGCCAAAACCAGACTCGTGAGAAGTGGCGAATGAAATGGGAGACAAGTGCGTGTTTGAAGGTGCGAAAAGTCGGCGTCTGACACACAACGTGAATGGCAGACAGCGCGTTGGTAGCGCGTCACGGGCCGACAACAAAGGACCAGTCAACGGCGACGTGATGACCGTCAGCTCCGGTGCGATCGTTGACATCTTTGACCGTGATGAAACGCGGAACGGGCGATGGCCGGTTGAGGTTGGGGAGAGAAGGAGGTGAGGTTGAAGGAAGCGCCAAGATGGTGCGACGGATACGACCGCACACGTGCAGACCGAACCTCTTGTACCCGACACCGTCCTCCATCCGAAGTCTGTTGATTTTCAATCACCATAATGCCTCCATCCGCTCCACCCGGTGGCGCCCTTTGCCTGCAACGGCTGCCTGTGCGAGGGCCTTTGACAGACTCCTGAGAAGGGAGACAATCTGTCCTCCTCCAACGACACCATTCCAGTCACATCCAACGACACCACACCAGTCCATCTCCTCCAGACGACACCACATCAGACGGGACCAATCTACTCCGGGCGAGACCTCTCTTCCATCTGCATCTCAAGCCACCCGATGCCATGTCCTTATCCACCTGCAGCTCCGACTTCACGGACCATGTCGTTGATCCCGCCGAGCCAATCTTGCAATCCCCATCTCTCATTTGACTGGCTCCGCAGCGGCATCTGGTGGTCAGCAAAAGTCTTGGGTTCGACAAGTACCGAGGGAACAGCATATCGTCCAGTCGGAAAATAAATATGCCACCTGCAGCTGTCCATTCTCACTCGGTCTCGACGGGCCTTTCTCGCTTGGAAGCGGTAGCCATGGCCAGCCAGGAACAGGGGTTTCGACAGCCCAGCCGCCAACCACAACTGCAGCCAAACAGGCCTCGTCAAGATCTCGACAAGACGTGATTGTTTCCCTTTCTCCACACTTTTAAGGTGCTTCCATTGAGGCTCTGCGGAACCTTCTTCCCCAACGTCGACGATCGATAGAGATTGCTTTGCAAGATGCCTCGGTTCGGATTGCATGACGCCATCCCCGCAAACCGACCGGCCGTATGCTCGTCGTACAAGCCCCGTGTGGCCCCTCGCCGCACATTGCTCGCTCTACACCGCCGGCCGCAGACATGCACTGTGTAGATGGGGTCGAAAAATTACATGTCGTACTTGCAAGGTAGTGTTCAAAAACTGGCGTCTGCCGCATCTTGTTTCCGTTTCAACATGTTTGTCGTTCGTTTCTCTCTCTAATCAGGCCCCTCCTCGAGAGTCCTAAAACTCTGCCTTTCGGTCCGCATACCACTTTTGAGCTCCTTTCCGTATTTCCGTTGTCCAACAAAAGTAATTGGCCAGTCGTCTAGGTCTCGTACCTCGTCTTCTTGGCATCTTGTATCAAGACGGACTTCCGGAGATCGTGAACTCCGTCAACTCAACAACACCTCCATTCTTTCAGAATGCCCCTGAAATCACTCTACCACTGTGATATCCCGCTGGTGGATTTGCCAACCCACGTCTTTGGCGGGCCAACATCACCCCTTCCCGGCAACAAGAGCTTCATCGATGCCGAACGGCCAGAAAGATATTATCTGACCTACGAAGATTTCCGACTATGGTCGAAACGCGTCGCTCTGGGTTTCCGGCGCGCGGGACTCAAACAGGGTGACCGCGTCCTCCTCTTCTCGGGCAACTCGATATTCTTCCCCGTCGTGATGATGGGCGTCATCATGGCTGGGGGAGTCTTTACCGGAGCCAATCCATCCTACGTCGCCA